ATCGCTTAATAATCAAATTAAAAAAACTAGCGATCTCTCAATATAACGTTATATAATATATTTACAAGAGATGTCAGTGGTATTTGTTTATGGACGATGCTAGGTTTTCTGAGTCGTTGTTAAATTATTCTTAATATGTAGACGTGGATTGAGTATCTGAATATAATTCACCACCAGTTATGCGATCACATTTAAGTTCAAGAACTCCAACTAAAACCATATCACCGGCAAACATAATCATGGAAAACATAGACTGCAAACTAAGTTTACCACCGCCATCATACCCTAATTTTAATCATATAAGGTGATATGGAAGTGATCAATTACTTCATACAGATATTATTACAGATTTCATGATGAATGATAATAACTATGGTGATTTGCCAGGTAAACACTAGCAAATTAATAGTAGCTTTGCTGACTAATGAGAATAGCAATTAGAAGTTTATTATATAATCTCGTTTTGTTTTTAAGCTTACTATTGTTTTTTCATATAATAGATCTGAATTGGGAATTTAAATTTAGAAAATCGAATGAAAAATGGGAAATAATTACAGATAAAAAAAAATAATAATAATAGGCCAAGTGATGCAAATCTAAGCAGATCAAGATAACTAATGATCCTTTAAAGTCATAAGGAAAGTAATATCAAGCCGGGTATTATTATTACCGATATTTATTGTAAGCGTGTACTTGTTACGCATCATTCATTAATATATATACATATGTTGTAGGTGAGAATGAAATCTAAGTAAATTTGGAATTTCATAGTTAAATTAGGGCTAGGGTGTTTATACAATAAAATCAATCCCAAAACGGAAATTTTTATATAAATTCCGAATCCACTTAAATTCTATTTCTACTTACAACATATGTATATCATTCATATTTTAGAAAACAGAATATATTATTTTGCGATTAAACTTATAACTAAATATCAAATAATAAAAGTGTAAAACACACCATTATTTTTTATTAACATTCAAAAATGTATGGTTTACCTATTCTTGAGTACTATGAGTTGGATAACATTATACATTATAGATTAGCTGTTTTCTCAAATATTATAGCAATAAGACCCCTAAAACGATAATAAATATTTATTTAGTAGTAGTTCTAAATTATAACTAAAAATCAAATGAAACCAACCATGTTACAATACACTCTTCTCTTGGTATTTCATGCTATTGATAGAGCTCATCAAAAGTTACCTTCATCATCATAATCTGTTTCTCTGTTCCAGTTAACCCTTTGAGTGCAACCTTAATGTTCTATTCTCGCTCTGTTGAACTTTGTTGTCGTCTTCCATCTATC